AAAAAAAAAAACCTTCTCCACCATTAGTGGGAGTACAGATTGGTACAGTCAGTATGGAGGTTTCTTAAAAACAACAACAAAAAACTAGGATTAGGTGTTCCGTTCGATCCAGCTATTCCCCTTCAGGGTATTTTTCAGGTGAAAACACCCTACCACAGCCATGTATATATACCCGTGTTTATAGCAGCATAATTTGTCATAGCTAAATCTTGGAAACAACCTAACTACTAACAGGAATGGATAAAAAATGTATTTTTATACAGTGGAGTATTAGCTATAAAAAAAGATAAACTCAGAGCTGTTATAGGTAAATGCATACAACTCAAGACCATACTCATAAAATCCAGTAAATCAGACTTGCATGGGTAAACATCATATTGTTTCCCAAGGTAAGAAACAAAAAGTAAAATCTGAAAGGTACAGTAGATATTGTGAAAGGGAAAGAAACCTCAAAAAGAGCACAACTGGTATGAGAGAAGCAAAAAAGGAAAGAAAAATGTGTGTATACTCACAGGTACACAAGATAATCTGTATCAGTTTATTGAAAGGAACAGTTACTGCTTAATCTTTTGATCATTTTGCGTGCCTATGTCTAGTAATCTAAAAAACTTTTAAAAATAACAGTGCAATGTAACAACCGTTGTTCATTTCCCATCCTGCTTTGAAGTGTTGTGTCATTTAATTTTTTAATTTTCTTTAAGGGCCAGCCAAATAGCTCAGCGGATTAAAGTGCCTGCAAGCAGGTGCAAGGGCCAGGGTTTGATCCCTGATCCTCCCATGCTGGCCCTGCCCCTGGGGCACGCTGAGACGCCAATTGAGACTGGGTGTGGTAGTGTGTGCCTCTAATCCCAGCACTTGGGAGGCTGTAAACAGGAGGATCACTACAAGTCTGATCTAGTAATGAGACTGTGAACACTCTGTAGACCCTTCCCTAAAATACAGAGGGAAAAAAAAATAAAAATAGAAATTCTCTTTAAAACAAAAATAAAATAAAATCACTCTGGGCCAATGAGATAGCTCAGAGGACTAAGCACCTCTTAGGCAAGCACAGGAACCAGGGTTCATTCCCAGAACCACTTGTCTGGGCACACCACAGAGAGGAGCTTGGTGGTCCACACCTGTAATCCCAGCATTGGGGAGATGAAAAAGGGAGGATCAATGAGTCAAGCTGTATAGTGAGGCCCTGTACCAAATACATTAAATAAATGAATAAATAAATAAAATCACTCCTCTCTCTCTGTGAGGCTATATATTAGAGGAGAGGATACTTAAGCAGTATTTATAAAACTAATTCAGTAGGCTTATTTTTCTGCTTTCTCTTTGTTATATTTGTGAGAACAAAGTAACATGTGGAAAAGGATATCATTGTAGCATCGATTATCTGTTTTCCAGTACTAGGGCTCAAACCCAGTGCCTCACTCAAGCACACTACCAGTAAGCTATAGCCCCAGCCCCTGCAAAGTTAGTATTAATAGGGGAGAAAAACAACATAAATGTCCTTTTACAGTCAAAAAGCTTGCTATATAAGCTTAGTCAAACAGGTTATTCTTGGCCGGGGATATAGCTCAGAGGCACAAGTCCAGCACAAGGTCCTGAGTTTGATTCTCAGTACAAAGCAAAACAAAGTAGAAAAATAAATAAAATAAACCAAACAGGTTATTCTTGTGCTTAGAATGCTTCTTACCACATTCTGTTTTCATTTCCTAAATGGTATAGTTTGTATTATCCCAGCACCTTTTTTGTTTTTTCCTTTTACTCTTTATATTATGCGTAAATTTATGAAAAAATTCAGGTACCTCTGTGATAGTAGTCTTCTAATTCTTTCATTAGGGATGGTGGTGCTGGTACTGGGGATCAAAGTTAGGACCTTTTGTTTGCCAAATAGGTGCTTATGCCACTGAGCTATATCCTCAGCCCTAATCTTCTAAGGAGTAGGGCTTTAATGCTGAAACTTTAAAATGTTTTAATTTTCACTGTTCACTAATAATGAGGATTCATTATAAATTATTATGGAAAATGACATGTAAGAAAAGTGCTGGTTGCATCCTAATTGTAGTGATTTTTTTTTTGGGGGGGTAGTGAAATTTTGGAAATATCTTCAACATATTTTCTATTCTTTTGAACAGTTCGTTTTCCTGAAGATCTGGAGAATGACATTAGAACTTTCTTTCCTGAATATACCCATCAACTATTTGGGGATGAGTAAGTAGTAGTGTGGCAAAACGCAATAAAATTCCATTCTTTAAGGTTTGGAAGTCAGATTTTATTTTTGTTATTGTTATTTTTCATTTTAAAATATAAGGTTAGGCTAGTATGTTTTACATTGAGACATCTGTCTGTAGTTTAGTATAATAAGCACATTTTCTTACTTAATTCTCACTGCAGTATTAGCCATGTTAATATTACTGAATTTGTTACTTTGTACATATGTGATATTGTGTAATTGGTAAGGAGCTATGAATGGCTGAAGTTTAGATGCAGTAGCCTGATTCCAGAGCTCATAGTTATATCACTAGTACTTTTTGGTTTTGTGTTTTCTTCCCTCTCTCTTTACTACTTTTGGTGTACCATGTACTTATTTCTCCAAAGCTAGCAAGCTCCATTTGCTATTGTATTATTAAATAAGCAGATAGATAAAATTTATTTTTGGATGTAACTTTAAAAATAAGTCTAGGGTATTCAGCACATTCATTGATTTCCTGTTACCTTCACTACATTATTAGAGTAGTCATTTACTATTTTTTTTTTTAAAGTTCAAATTCACAGCGAGTACAAGAATACACAATAAACACTGTGCATCTTCTACCTTTGTGTTCATCTTTAACATTTAGTTACATTTTCTTTATTCTCTTTTCCCCCTTTGTTTTGTGACTGGTAATTTAACCTAAGACATCTTGCAAATGAGTTATATCTCCATTCCTTTTTTAATTTTTATTTTGAGATGAGGTCACACTTAAGTCACCAGTTGCCCAGACTGGCCTCATAGTTGAAATTTTGCCTCCCTCTCCCAGGTTACTGGAGTTACAGGCATGTACAACTATGTATAACAGATATTTTCTCTTTTAACATAAATATATAATATTATTGTTGCTCCAGTTGAGAATGAGTTTGAAAATCTCTTAACCTCAAGTTCTTTAGCATGTACCTATCTACTGCAAATGAGGGTGATAACCATAGTAGATTGATCAAAATTAGGACATTCAACTTTGATGTAATACTGCTTTCTAATGTTTCAGATTTTAGCTGTTAGTTTCTAGTAATTTTTTGATAGCAAGTTTTCTGCATCTTGGATCCAGTCCAGAGTCACATTGCATTTACTTACTATATCTCTTCATTTTCCTTTCATCTAATACAGTTCCTCAGACTTTATATTTATTTTTTTAATAATTGATTGATTTTTAATTTTTATTTATTTGTGTGTGTGTGTGTGTGTGTGTGTGTGTGGCCAGCTCAGCCCACAAGGGGGCGGGGCTGGCTGGCATGTGGTGCTGGGGGATTGAACCGTGGTCCCTGTGCTTTGCTAAGCTTGTTCTAAGTAGGTGCTTTAGACCACTGAGCCATCTCACCAGCCCAGACTTTATATTTATGATGGGCATTTTTGTAAAATATAAGTGTGTTTTGCAGAACACTTTTTCTTTTTTTTTTTTTTTTTTGGCAGTACTGGGGACTGAACTCAGGACCCTGCGCTTGCCAGGCAAGTGCTTATTCTACTGAGCTATCTCCCCAGCCCTAGAACACTTATTTCAGATCAGTTTCTTATGAATTCACATACTGTGTAGTTTTCATTACTGCTGCAGAGATGGTATTGGTCTTAGTGTTGTAATAGGGAGTTCACAAAGTCAGTTTATTCAACTGTTGGTTAACTTGGGTCATTTAGTTTGGAGTAGTTTGCCAGGTTTCCTCACTATAAAGTTAATACTTTTCTGTACTTTCTAAGTAAAGGCCGATGAGATAGTCAGCAGACTAAGTGCCTGCTTAGGCATTGCAGAGACCGGAGTTTGATTTCAGGAACCACACACTGTGCAGGCCACCAAGTTTGGGTATGGAGGCGCATGCCTGGAGGCTAAAACAGGAAGGTCACTATGAGTCCAAGCTGTGTAGTGTGACCTTGTACCAAATACATAATAAAATAATTTACAAGTACTCTATAGGATGATAATCTGAAATTGAAGGTGAGACGAGCTCGCCGAAATGGCGGCGTCCAGTCAAGGAAACTTTGAAGGAAAATTTGAGGCACTGGACCTTGCAGAATTTGCTAAAAAGCAGCCATGGTGGCACAAGCTATTTGGGCAAGAATCTGGACCCTCTGCTGAAAAGTATAGTGTGGCAATCCAGCTGTTAATTGGAGGTGTCACAGGATGGTGTACTGGTTTCATGTTCCAGAAGGTTGGAAAGTTGACTGCTACAGCTGTTGGAGGTGGGTTTTTTCTCCTTCAGCTTGCAAACCACACTGGATGTATTAAAGTTGACTGGCAGCAAGTAGAGACAGACATGACATGAAAAAAGCCAAAGAGCAGCTAAAGATTCGGAAGAGCAACCAGATAACAACCAAGGTCAAGAGCAAAGCCAAGGAGATTGTGTCATTTGTGAAGAAGAATGTTGTTGTGACTGGAGGATTTTTTGGAGGCTTTCTGCTCGGCATGGCATCCTAAGGAGAACAACTGTACTTCTATTTTCTGGTTTTTTCCCGCCAGCGGACAGCCTACACTCCATAATAGGCCATCAAATGTCTCCCTGCTTTTCTCCTGTGCCTTCCTCCCTGTTGTGACAGATATGAATGGCTTCTCTAGGCATCTGTTGCTACCAGTTAATACTGGCCCTATCATGAGCTCGAAAGTGACGGAAGAGACAGTAGACATTAGCTATGTTCATGGTACACTCCCTGCTTGGCCAATTCTAGGTCAGCAAATATGTTCCTTTTGCCTTCTTTAAGATACTTATCAGAACACACTGCAAGATCATTCACCATGAAGGATGTTAGGATCCTCAAAGAAGCACATAGGTACCTTATGTGCAGCATGGAAAGGAACTGAATACATTTGCCGTTAAGCATGAAAAAAAAAATAATAATCTGAAACTGAAAAGTATACTATAGTTTTACCCAGTAGTTCTAGTATTCATTAATGATTCTTGCCTGAATCATTAGGCAAGAATGGATCAAAGGGTGATTACTATAATGGGATTGTCACAAGGTGATTTTGTAATTTCCTATCTTCTACAGTTCATTAATTTGCATTCTTGGTTTTTTTTTTTTTTTCTTTTTGGTGGAACTGGGGATTGAACTCAGGCCCTTGCGCTTGCCAGGGAAGCACTTATTCCACTGAGCCATCTCCCTGGCCCTAATTTGCATTCTTTTAGAAAGAACTTGCCTTCTACTTGATCATGTTAGAATAAATTCATTATTTTTTTGAGTCATACTGTTGTTACTAATTTTGATGCCCACATTATTACAAATAAGGAAACTGGCATCATAAGCTTTACAAATTTTTTTGCTATGTCCTCATCATTTAGGAGATGCTTTACTTTGTGGTATAATATGTTCTGGATTCTGCTTTGTCTATTCTGAATACCAGTTTCCCAAGGAACTGGCTATTGTAGTGGGGAAGGATATTTAGATAAAGCTGATGTGTAATGGTTTTTCCTGTACATTAGTTTAACATCACTGGTAATGTGTTTTTAAATTGACAAATGCGTCTATAGAACAAATTTCCTGAGAATTTCTCATTACTATTGTATCATATCAAATTAGGCATTTTATATACTTTTTTTTCTTTTAAATTCTAGTAAGTACTTTTTTTTTTTTTGGCGGAACTGGGGATGAACTCAGGCCCTTGCACTTGCCAGGCAAGCGCTTATTCTATTGAGCTATCTCCCTAGCCCTAGTATATTTTATTGTATATAGACATGTCAAAATTTTAACCTTTCATATATTAAACAGGTTTTATTATAAAAATAAGAATGTGTTCTCTTTGGATATCTACCTTTAAGGATGTTTATTCTTTCTGCTGCCTTTAGAAATCTCTTCTAGGACTGGAAATATAGCTCAGTAGTAGAGTGCTGGCCTTTTATGCACTAGGCCCTAGGTTCAGTCTCTGACATCAAAGAGAAAAACTCTTCTTATAATCTTAATAGATAAGATGCCACTTCTAAGGTGACAAGTAACACTCACATAATTGTGATTACCCTTTACCTTGTAACTGAAGGACATTGACTTTAATCCTACTATTGCTGTTTTTTTGTGCGCACATCACTTTCAGAATTCCTGGAATGGACATTGCTCATATTTTATTTTGCCTAGACAGAAATCTAGAAATGACACTGCTTCTTTCAAGTTTTGTTGTATTAGAACTATTCTTTTGTTCGGTTGGTTTCTTGAAACAGTTGCTGTGTAGCACAGACCAGCCTTGAAGTTTTTGTGTATCAGCTAGCCTTGACCGGTTTTGTGCTAGTCTCCCAATTGCTGAGGTTACTGGCATGCCTAGCTAGAATTCACTTTTTAAAATAATCAGGAGGCTCAGACAAGAGGAGTGCAAAGTCATCTCGCCTGAACAACTCAGTGAGGCTCAGTCTCAGAGTAAAAATAAAGAGGGGTTGGGATGCAACTCAGTACAAAGGGCCTGGGTTCAATTCTCAGTACTGCAGTCAACCAATCAGTAAATTAAGTGATCATAAAAAGTTTTTTTGAGATATAGTTGTGTTGTGTGGCCATCACTACAGTCAATTCTGGCTGTCTCCCATAC